AGCATAACGAATTATTTTTTCTGCAAGAGCATGATTTCGTGTTGCAATTCGTTTTTCGGCAATGGCAACAGTCTGGATGAGGTCTTTGGCTTAAACCAATATTCCCATTATTATATCATTACTTCAATTAAAATTTTTATTAGCATTAGTAAAATTTTTATTAAAGTTTAATAAATTTTTAAATGTATGAGTTGAGCGTTCTTAGATGAGCATTCTTGAGTTGGTTCGGGTGCTCTTGAGTGGTATCCCCCATCAGAAATTCGTGTCATAACAATGCCTGATATAATTCAGAAATAATTGGACGCATCGGTGTAATTCTTTTTGGCACTCTCCGAGTAACACATACCTTAAATTCATTGACAGCGTCTTCGACTAACTGCAGAACACGGATCTATTTATTATTATATTTTATTTATATTATATATATATATATCTATATATATCTATATATTTATTTAAGTTATAACTTTCGCCAGGTCTTCCTGATAAGCACCACAAATAACTTCGTAGAAATTTTGAACCACGCACTCTGGGTTCCCAGATTATTTCTGCCTCGTTTACGTATGTGAAGTTCTATAATACCAACGCGATAAACTTTAAAAGTTTATGTTTAAACGTTAGTTTACACTGAATATTTTTTTTGTAGTTTAGACATTCAAATTGTTTATTTTATTTTATTTTTTTTTGCTTTGTATAAGTCTCACAGTTAGAAAAGAACAACTTTGCGAATTCATTATTAACGAAGAAAAAAAATGAAATACAATTATTAACGAGAAAAAAAAATGAAGTACAATTATTAACGAAGAAAAAAAATGAAGTATATTTATTAACGAAGAAAAAAATGAAGTATAATAAAGAATTTCTTAAAAACCATTTTTAAAATTTTCCATCATTCGTATCAATATAATACGTAATAATCTCTGTCTGTCATAAGCCATCGTTGATTATAATATTATCTGCATTATGAATTGACCTATGTTGTTTATCAATCGGAAAATGACAGGTGTCAATTAATAATCGACGTAAATTGAAAAATGACGAATAACATTTACAGTGTTTTCATAAATATGGAGCTGAATCGCATTAGATTTTTTCAGAGATCCGTATCAGAATGATTTTAAATATAATGTTTTAATTATCTTCGTCATTTTTATTTTTAAAAATGCAAGCAAGTACAGAGATTTTGATCATAGAAGACTTAAAATTTTGCTTCGTACGTACAGTACATAGAAATAGTCTTCAATAAATTTTTTATTCATAGATCCGAATCATTATGATAATGTTTGTAATTTTTTCAGTTTCAATAAATTCTTTTCAAACAGAATATTGAATTCAAACAAGAATTTGATTTGAAAGAAATCTAAAAATTTTGATGGGATAAATGTATATGAAATCTCATCTTTAGTTAAAATTATATAAACAAAAAGAATGACTGTTTAATTTTAGCAAATTAAATGTTTTTATAGTGTTAAATTTATTCTAAGCATTAGAAGCTACGTAGTTATTATCATTATTTTTTTTTTAATTGACCATTGTGGCGCGCCAACCTGGTACACATTTTCCAGATGCACTTTTTTTTATGGATTTTGTAACTTGCGTAACAATTCATGTGATCATTTGGGTTTACACTTAACGTGACTATTGATTAAAGATAAATTTGCCTAACGGCGTAAGATATAAAATTCTTTAACTTATAAAAGCAAATTTTGATGATTTATTGTTTTTTTTTTTTTTTTTTTTTTTTTTTTGTAATAATTTTTTAACTTAAAATAAAGAAAGAAAAAAAACGCTTATTCAAATAGCATTAAAAAATTGTAGATTTTGCAAAGCTTATTTACATATTAAACAAAATACGGTATAACCCCTTCTTGACTTAATCAAATCTATCTCCAGCAATTGTATCTTATTTACTGGAAAAATTTGTAAAATAAATATATACTCTATGTATGCCCGATTTTATCTCCATTTGGTCTAATAGAAATGAGACAATCGGATCGATTATACATACATAAAAGAATTATTATTATTACAGATTTTGTACAGTAAACTTAATATACAAATGTATGCAAATTTTTCGTTCAATGATTTGACTTAAATAATTAAGTCGGCAATATTCAACTATAACTCAATAAATCAATGTACTTGACGCTTACAGCCTATTAGTTGCTATTAGATATTATATATTATGGTATTAATAGATCAAAAAGATAAAAAAAACTTACCTCTATTATTGTACACCACATCCTTTATCGGGTCTACTACTGTCTAAAGATTCAGTTGATTGAGCATAAATATTATTATTAGATTGTTTTGCAGAATCTAATAAATCCATATCCGAATCTGAATGATTATTAATTAATGTCTCTCTAACTTGTGAATCCAACTTAGTGAGAAAAACCTTTGGAACATTCAATTGTCTATTAGAAATTTCCAATTGACTAGTACGTTCGTAATTTATATTCTCACTAATGTCTTCAATTTCTTTACGAAATTCTCGCCTGATATATTCTATATTTGGAAGTTGCAACGAATCTACGATATCAGTTCCGAATGGTGCGACTACCTGCCAAAGTTGTTTACCCTTATTATAACTCTGATGAAGTTTACGTCTGCGATCAATAATTTCTTTGCGAACGAATAAAATGGATGATAAAATTGATTCTTTATATAAATCAGGGAATGTATTATCACCATTTCTTTGCGAGTTATCTTCAAGAAAACAAACACGGTTGACGAGAATATTAAATGCTTTTTTAAAATGTTCTCGAATTTTTGGCATCATTGTTATAGCTTTAGCTATATCATTTGCTATATAAAAAAGAAAACAATTATTTAATGAATTATAAAGAAATTAAATTGAGATAAAGTAATTATAAATATTACATTTTTGTATAGGATCTTGAATACTTAAGCTTTTTGGACTTTTCGTGGCCCAAGATTCGTTTTCCTGTATGTTACGTTAAAAAAAAAAGTACTGTAATTAATAAAATTTTCAGAATTAACCAATATAATTTTAATAACTTACTTTCTTACAATATCCTATCTCAGCACCAAGGTCTTCATCTTTTTTAACACGGATAGCAAGTTTTTCATAATTGAAGTCAATTCCATAAAGTTCGAAAAATTCAATAAGTAATACACCAAGATTTTCGTCATCAGGGACCATTCTTCCCGTTTGGACCTCAGGGTGTAGCTATTTAGTTTAATGTAAAGATGTTAATAAAATTTTTATATATAAAAATGCAATAAGCTTGTTTCAAATTCTTGCCTGGAGGAAATTCAACATCAAACAAAAAAGTGTATAACCACTCATTCCACCTGATTCTGCACGATCAAGATTATGATGATTTAAGAAGCACCTTGCGACGATAACCAACCTAATTAATGATGGCCACTGTTCCATATATCGTCGTATAGTGACAGCAGAATAATACCCATTAATTTGGTTAAGAGAAATATATACATTAAACTTTGTGTAAAATTCCTGGAACTTTATGGTAGGGACCTAAAAAAGAAAAAAAAATTTCAATTAAAATATATACTTATATATATATATATATTTTTTTTTTTTAAAAAAAAAAAAAAAATCTCTTTCTCACTTTAGCTGAGGTATTCATAATGGGTATATCAGTACTAATATTTAGCTTTTTCAAGAGATTTGTGATCGTAATTATAGCACTGTTTGGATCTTCGTGAATAAAACAAACTATATCGAGATCACTTGTAGGAAGATATAGACCAGTGTTGACACTTCCAAATACCATTACCTCGGAATTTTTAAAATATTTTTTGATGAAAAGTTCTATCCTTTTGATAACGAATGCTCGTAATAAACATTCTACATCAGTTGGTAAAAGATAATTTGCCAACTCGATAACTTCGTAGTGTAGCCTATAAATTTTTAAATGACACAAAATTGTAATCAAATATAATTTAAGATCAAACTTTTAATAAAAATATTACCGTTGAGTTACACTCGTGTATTTAACTTTAGAATTATAAATAAGCCAAGGTTTTTCTGATGGCTTTGGTGACCTCCAAGTGTCTTCTCGTTTAGCGGCCTCTTGTTTTAATTTTTTATTAAGCTTTTTTTTCTTAATAGATTTTTTTTTATCCTTTTTCTCTTTATCTTTACCTTTCTTATCTTTATTATTATCTTTTTTATTATTTTGTTCATTCACTTGTTGACCTTTCTTTTTTTTTTTCTTTCTCTTCACTGCATTATTCGATAATTTCGAATTAACATTACTTCGTTGTGTCTCATTAACTGATCCTACATTATTATTATTACCAGCATTTTGTTGGAAAATATTCGAATGCATTAAGTGTGAAGGTGGATTACAAGGAGGTCCATAAAAACCATTGTAATGTATTGTATTCAAAGGAATAGGTAAAGGACCATAAGAACCACTAACATTTTGTCGTAAATCAGTAAAATGAGTCGCAGCAAAAGGAACATTCGTGGTACCTAAAGGTTCATTACGAGTTGCAAACGAAATATTATTAAAGTTTGAAGCACTCTGATTTAACCGTAACATGTTTTCGGGATTTTCCACCCGTGCATAGGTTGGAAAGGCGAAAGGTACATAAGGTGTTGCTATTGGAATGTTAGCTGGTGGTAGGGTATGAGGTGGAGGTGGAGGTGGATTATAAAATGGAGGTAGATCATAACTTCTCTCCATTATTACTTAAAAATCAAAGTTTCTGATCAATCCTTGATATTCAACAAAAGCCTTATATTAATATCATGTGAGATCTAATGTCACGCCGTGTAATCAATCTATGATATAATACTTTTGTAATTAGTAAGGCTATTTGAATTTAAAACATTTAAAACTTCGTTTAACGTTAATTATTACAGTACTCTAATACTGGGGATCGTCTAAAGCCAGGTTCGTTAGGGTTAGTTTTCTTGATGCATTTAGTAGTTTATTTATATATAGATATCAAGAATGGAACATATGCAATATGTAGATCTATACGGCTTGGTGCTACAGAAATTGACAAATTTATAAATTTTATAATAAATTATAAGAAAATACAAATTTCAAAAAGCTATTGTACAAGATTTTATTAAGACAACTACTTTTATGCTTTAAGTGAAAAA